ACACACACACACACACACACACACACACACACACATATCGTGACTTAAAGTATGATTCTCTCATTTTATCAGCTGTGTACTATTATGTCTGTACCAGTGCATAATAATATACTAATTGTGTCAGTGTTCAAAATGTTCACATCAAAGCAGTGCTTGCCTAAGTACTACTGTACGAAAATGGCACTGATCACAACAGCGAGACTTCTTGCGCCTCTGGTGTGCAACAGCAATTCCTGTGAAGCATGGGAAATAATCGTAGAAACAGGTGTAAGGAAACAATATTTTGTGGTTGCTTCCCTTTAATGATTATTTTTTTGAAATTGTGTCCCCTTAAAAATTACAACCGCAGCTTTGTTTAAATCTGCTGTCTACGATGCAGAAACCGTCATTGTTTTAAATCTAACAAACTGCTGTCCTCTTGTGGCCTAGAGGTTAAAGTGTTCGCCTCTCATTCAAAGGTCTCGGATTCGAATCCGGGTAGTGACGAAAAAAGCCTTCTCTAAAATTGTCTCCTTTCACTTCCTTTCTTGCTCTCTTGAAATATTCTGTCGTCTGCTTTCGTCTCCACCTTCTGTCGCCACCTCTCTCACCTCCTTTGCCCCCTCCTCTGGTCTCCTGACTCTTTCTGCAGCCTTTCCAATGCCTTTCCTTGGATCCTTCTTACTGTACTGCTATCTTTCAGCCACACACCTGATCTTATGGTAAGACAGATCTACACATAGCCTTCTCGGACAAGAGCGAAAAATCTCAGAGGTCCCGTGAGCAAGTTGGGCAAATTAAAGATCCCTTGGTGGTCCAAAATTGATAAGAGTAGGCTTGGGCCGCCACCCGGGCAAAATTCAAAATTTCCTACTAAACGAAAATATTACGTGTGTCCCGCGCGCTCATATATGACCTTATGCATTTGCGAGCGCCGTAAAACACTAAACAAAAGAAAATGCAACATTTTATAATCTGTTGAGCGCAACTGTTCCTTATGGTTTGGATTTTTTTGGGAAAACATAATTTAAGAGGTTTTCAAGTATGACGGCTATAATGACATTCGAAAGTGCACATTAATATAAACTTGTTATGCCTCCAACTTTGGAATTAGAACCCACGGCCCAGCAGCACCTCCACAAGGCAGCTACACTTTCCTTTACTTTTTTGTTTGCTTTATTTAATTTTTTCGGTCTTACTTCCCCTATTTCTTGCTGTTCTCTATACCTCATGCTGATTGCATTTTTCATCAGGACTTTGCGCACCCAGCGAAACTCTATGCTCTATTGTGGCACAGTCCCTTAAAAACTCAAATACTGTGTTGTAGACTTCACACAAAATGTTGTCTTTTCTGCTGTCCTGAATACTTTGCTTATATCATGAACGATTTGTGTCTCAACTGCCGCATCCCC